GTGCTGAGCAACCAAGTGGTAACACAGTTTACTGCGGAAGCTATCCGTAGCCACAAATTCTTCCACACAGCTGTGAACAACTGCGAGGAATCTGGGAAGGCTGAAATGTCATTTAATGTCTGCACATATAAAACAGGTACGGATTAAGCAGCAGTAAAGACAATGCAGACGTATTCAGTGTTACAACAATGAGTCGTACAAGATTTTGGCAGATGTCTTGAGTGTGGGAATGCATCTTTAGGATAAGTACATCAGGTGGCTGTTTCTGCCAAAATTACTAGTTTGCTGCTAAAATCAGTAGTTTTGTTTCAGCTACCAGCGGCTGGTTTACAGTACCGAAATCCTTTACCACTACAGAAGTCCGTAACAATTATTTCAGCTGCCCACATTCAACCCTGTAAGCAGTTAAGTGTGCAATTTTACTTGCAGAAGTAATCGCATTGACAATTTATTCTCCAGCACACCAAAACCTGATGCAAGAAGAGCGAGCCCTTCTCTCACAAAACTCTCCTCTGACATCTGACTTAGGATCCCTCATCCTTGTTCCTTTCATGTGCTACAAGATTCCCCTCACAAAAATTATTCTGCAATTAGAACAAATTCTGAACTAAAAAAAAAGCACTCACCTACAGGTTTTTAAAAGGCATTTAGCTACACAACAGCCAATACAAAACCCAAACCACAACACACTTTTGATGCTTAAATTCTTCAAAGAGGTCAATCTTCTACTAAGTCATACTTAAAACACTCTCTTCAAAATAACAGATAATAGTTCATCTTTCAGTACAAAACTGTATGCTAGTGAATTGTTTGTGAAGCCTATTCTCCAGGTTAAGTACTCTAAAAAAATCTGTTGGATCACCTGCAAGAGGATTTCCTTTGCAGTGCTAGCTTTCTTCATCGCTTTCAAGAATTTTGGTGATACCATCAAGGTAAGACACAGTAACATTTTTCAGTAAGAAACCCCCAACCCTACAGCTGCAACTGCTTGTTTTGTAATGCTGAATTTAACGTTAGCATGACTAGTACCTGCCATACATTCCAAGTCTTGTGGTAAAAAATGGTATGAACATTCAGTTTCATTTTTTAAGCAATGAAGTATCTGCTGTTAGGCCAGTGTACTCGGCCAGCCAGCTATGCTGCATACGGGGACAGTTCACCAACGCAAACCCCACCAAAACAATGCCAGAGTTCATTGCCAATGCTTGATGCTGCATGCCAGACATCAGGGGTGTGTTCACTTGGATCCAGGTGCTGTAGCTGGCTTTGTAAAGTCACTAGTAACACAGTAATAATTATGCTGTTAATACACTAACAGTCCCTTCCAGAACGGCAACCAGTTCAGGCTTCCCGGGTCCAGCACAGAGCAAGAGATAACAAAGCTTTACAGCCCACGACCAATTCTGTGAAATTCGTGTGTCTCCTAACATGCACACTTCCAAAGTTCTTCCATTGCTCTGGATAATGAGAAATTTTATTTTGGTGGCAGCTTTCTTTTGTCTAGTCAGAGTAATACAAAGGCTCCTACTGACTGATGTGAGTTTCTTCTAGGCCTGGCCCAATTTTATAGAAGGGACTACCTGTGACACAGTACATATAATGAGATGTTCTGGATTCACTAAATGCAAACCCTTGCTATTACAGGCAATCATATCAAACCATTTCCTGTTAAAAAACAGATGAAACTGCACCTCAAAGCTAGTTTTGCTTTTTGCACTTGCTATTTTTGGTGGGGAAGCTGTTGCACAACCTCCCTACTCAGGTATTTGAAAACGGTATTTTACATTTTAAATTTCTATTCACAATTAGTCTGTAGTTGTTACTTCTTCTGCTAAGTGTCCATTAGTTTAAAATAGTTTTTCTTCTCCTAAGGGTCATTCTGGAGTACTTTTAAAAAGCAAATTATCCATTAACAGTAATTCTCTACGTTCTGTTTTACTGAATTACTTTCAGTTTCTCTTCTACAGAACAGGTTGTTGGGGTTTTTTTGTTTCGGTTCATTAAAATGCGTGCATAAAAATACCTCCTCTATTTGAGCGAGTTGTTTGGAAGTTCAACTTTGACTATGATTTCACTAAGCAGAAAGAGGCAGTCTTCCTCCTCTTTTATAAACAAAGCTAGCAAGGGACACCAACTTTCATTAGTACTGACAAGGAAAACGTGGTATCAAATTTTCAAAGGTAAGCGTGTACAACAAAATGAGATTTTTCAGAGTACTCCAGTGAGTAGAGGTGCCCCACTGATAAAAATCAACAGGAGTTAGTCAGCTAGTCTTCAGTAATACCTGTGAATCAGTAGCGTAGTTACAGCCATAGCATCCTAAGCCTGCTACAGGCAAGGTTTGAAGGGAGAGCTAGTATCTTTTTGTAGGCCAGCTGACATACTGAAACCCCCCAAACCAGACAGGAAATCAGGAACATTTCAGGTCTGAAACAGAAAAAGCGAACTTGAATCCAGAAATTGCTCACATCTGGAAAGAACTGCTCTGTTTTCATTTACCTTAATGAAAATCTTCCCGTGAACTTCTGTGCATCTCAGTATCATCTATTTAACACACAACTGAATTTCACAGAATCTGCCTACAGATAAGACTAAGACTTTCTCTCTTTGTATCTAGAATTCAGTTTTACTTAACTACAGTAATAAAAATCAATATATTAAAAAAAATTTAAGTAACTATAAACATATTCATAAAAATAGACATGCCTGTGGCATACGCCTTTGGTCAGCAAAGAGTACCAAATTATCGTAAGGGCGACATCATTTCAGTATCAACATATTTTAACAATTATACCAACCAACAGAAATCTTTCTTCAGTTAAGCAGATAACTGGTAGAAACACAAAACTGTATTAAAAAGTTGCTTACAAATTTTGCTCTTTCGGAGTTATGCAAACGTAAGTTTTTAATAGTTTTGACTTAAATGGAATAGAACAGAACGATCTTTTTCTTCTAACACATACTCTGTCACATTAGTGCCTTTCAAACAACCATCTGCAAGTTGATTTTTCTCATCTACTTCCTGAGGATGCAGAGCTGCAAGAATTTTCTTTTTGTCAATCTCACTAGATTAAGGTTTCAGATTTTTGGCCTTAAGTAGAAAATGCTATGCAGTTTGTAGTTACACATAGATTTGATCAGTTTGTGCAGAAAGTCAAATTTCAAAGGTGATATATCAGCAACCCACACGCTTGAGGGCAGCAGCAGGAAATCACCTGCACTCATTATGAGGAGAATCAATCCTTTTCCCTCACAGAGAGATCCAAGCTCCCAAACAAAGCCCAAGCACGCTGAGCTGTGTGGGACTGAGGGAACATCTGCTTAAGAAGTTTTAACAAACAGTTTTGGTTTACTTACACTTTTCTCTTCCACATTCCAAAACACAACAGCCCCTTCCCTGTGAATTCAAGGAAAAACTGAGGTGTAACTATACTGTTTTAAGTGTATTTCAATGCAACACTCAAATTGTACAGTGGCAACTTTTTACCACTGTGAATCAAGAAACTTAACACTGTCTTCACAAAACCTACATAATAGTTGCTTTTTAACCACACTTTAACAAAAAAACATGAGAAACTAAGTTGTTTTTTAACCATTTAAATAATTCTGATCTTTTTTAAAATCATTCTGACTAGACAGTTATTCCTTGAGTTTCATGAGGTAATATGATGCATTCACAGAATCACAGACTGTTAGGGGTTGGAAGGGACCCTGAAAGATCACCCAGTCCAACCCCCCTGCCAGAGCAGGACCACCTAGAGTAGGTCACACAGGAACGCGTCCAGGCGGGTTTTGAATGTCTCCCGCGAAGGTCTCTGGGCAGCCTGTTCCAGTGCTCTGGCACCCGCACAGTGAAAAAGTTTTTCCTTCTGTTAATGTGGAACCTCCTGTGCTCCAGCTTGCACCCGCTGCCCCTTGTCCTGTCATTGGACATCACCGAGAAGAGCCCGGCTCCATCCTCCTGACACTCGCCCTTTACGTATTCATAAACATTGAGGAGGTCACCCCTCAGTCTCCTCTTCTCCAAGCTATAGAGACCCAGCTCCCTCAGCCTTTCATCATAAGGGAGATCTTCCACCCCCTTAACCATCTTTGTGGCTCTGCGCTGGACTCTTTCAAGCAGTTTCCCGTCCTTCTTGAACTGATCTAGCAAGCTGCACTACTTCTTTCACATCACTGCTATCAATAAAATAATGTTTTAAGCATGATTTATAGCTTACCTGAAGAAGAAAATCATGCCATGATCATCAACTTTTGCAGATTTCTCAGTACCAATCACCAAAACATTTGCAGCATCTAGTTTGAAATAAATGAAAAAAATTGAAGAAATAGTCAGACTTCTAAATGGGATAGCTATAAGCATACAACTCCAGTTTAACAGTTACACGCTAACAGATCAGCCAGTCCCCTATTTTATTTTTCTGATAGAAATGCTTGCCAGGAAACAACCACAATACCGAACTACACTGCTTCTCTGAAGTGCCACACTTAGACTCGGACACTATGTTGAACTTCACTGGAATCTTTAGTTAATGAAATGTAACAGTTTTGAAGAATAAAAGACTTCAGGGAAAACTGCTGCAGGGCACAGTAAGTAACTGGGAATAGAATACAGAAGTGGACAAGCAATGTGAGTGAACTATGGAAGCTGCCCGGAGTTGCAAAGAAATTACCATTCAAACCTGCTTGCCCAGAAGATCTTTCTTTTCTATACAGTAAGGGACTAATCTGCACTCAAATCGTGCCGACTTTGCTCTGACAGTCAGGCACTTGAAAGCGCATACCCCAGAGGCAGAAGAGGGTACACCTGCATTCTCCTTCAGATCAGCGTGCTCTCCAAACAAATCTTCCAGCCACCCTCATTTACCACATTTCTGATCTGCACTGCAGAACACTGTCAGAGTACACAAACTGGATTTTTTCGCATTAAATTAGACTGAAAAGAGGAGCTCCAAAAACGCACCTGTGGTACTCTAACCGCTAGTGGGCACTTGTTACAAAGGACCAGAGCTGAGCTAGTGGAGGTACAATGCCCCAAACCTTACTAAGTGTGGATGCTGGGTTCTCCAAACAGGGTTTTGGCGGGTTTTTTTCTGCTACAGATCTGCTCCACTGTACAACTTGCTAATATAGGTAAATCTTAGAATTCCTGATCTGGTTTTGACAAAAAAAGGTTACTTTCCAGCATGACCCATTTTGCTGCAGAACTAGTGGAAGCTAAACCGGCAAACCCCCTACTTCTATTATAAAGTGAGATTCCACAAAGAAGAATTTGCAGGGCCTAACACCTAAGCCTTAAAAAGTTCAGCCCCTTTGCAGAAAGATCACAAATCAAGTGACAAGGCATCAAATGCAGCCTATGTACAAATTCCACTCTCTGCTTTACTGCTCAAGCGACAGAGGCCAGGTAGACTAAGGCAGCAGAGAGAGATGACTAAGTATCGGACATACTTTAGCCAATACCCAAGTTGAGACCACGCAGTCGGTCTGTACGAACTCTTTAAAGACTTTCCTTCCACTTGCTACTCCAGTTCGGAAACACATGATTTGATGAATCACTACAGCAAGCTTTGGGTGTGAAGTTTGAATTCACCATGGAAGAAACATTTGTCTGCATTTTCTCATTTGGCTTTTCAAATATCACTCTTATCTTTATTTATCCACTCCAGCCAAAACATAGACAATTGAAGAGAATTTGGTCCATTGTAACTGGATGTACAGGATATGCCTCTACAATGTTTTTTAAAAAGTTGAAAACAAGAATAATGCTTAGAAAGAACACTACAAAGCAACAAATCCACACAATAATTGCTGATTTAGATTTCTATGTGCTAACAATCTTCTATTTTCCAAGAATCAACGTTTGAGTTGATAATCAACCACTGCTACATGCACAAGACAACCACCACAACATATCAGATCTGCTGGCACAATCCAACATCCTCTCATCATTACTTCCTCCAAACTTTTGATAAACATAGTATCTATTGTGAGGAGTCAAAAAACCACACCATTATGAAACCAAAGAACTGGCAAAACCCACACTCCCAGGGTAAAGTACCAGCAACAGCAACATTTGTCTTGCAATAATTCAGTCATGCTGGCAATTGTACAAAGTTTCTAACCCAAAGCTGTGAAACCAACGTTGGTTTTAATAAACTGCAAAGGAACACGAAGCCTATAGTCTACAGCACCCTGTCCTTCCATGTTCATCTTTCTGAGCAAGATGATCATTAGTAAATCTTGTGTCTAAGTGAGACTCACTGGAGTATTATTGCACTTGGACTACTGAATGCTTGAGAGGCAGACAGATGTTTGATAACCTCTACTGAAATGCCCATAAATACTATCTGTCATTCTCTTAGCTTCATATAAACTGTTCATTCAAAGGGGTGTGTGTGTGTGTGTGTGTGAAGCAGCATCCTACTGCCAGCATACAAAAATCACAGCTGTTCCAGGGCATAGGGTTCCTTAAGCTATAAAAAGCTCCATTTGTTTTTCTCTTGTGGTATACTTCAGCTATTTCCAAGCCATACTTTCCCAAGTCTTCAGAGATACTTTATGAAAACCAGAACCAATTATTTTTCTGAAGCCTAGCTAAGCAAAGCATTCAACAATTGCTAGGATATATTTGGCCCAATAATAATAAAAAAGCATCAACTGCATTCTCTTTACTAGAACTAAGCACTTATGTGTAGATCTTCTTCATTTCACTTAGTCAGCAAGATTCTCTCTTGCATGCCTTCCTCTCCAACCCGCAGTGATTTACATTAATAGAAGTGTGGGTATGGAAAGAAGATGCAACACTTCGAATTACAAAATTGTTTTGACAGCTGAAGCACTACAGTATCCCATTACTGAAAGATTAATTAAAATAAAGAAAACTTCCAGATTTTTTTCAATTAGCGAATTTCTATAGAAATTCTTTGTATCAGAAAACTTCCAAATTTATTTTTCCCGCATGTATCTGATTTTTCCAGTACTTTCAGGAAAAATTATTATAGCATAACAGCAAGCACTGGTTATACTGCTATTCCGAAAGGTTTTGTTGTGGGTTTTTTAGGCAAATGGAATTTTTAAGCAAAGCAATATTTTTGTAGGCAGTACGATTTATTCCAGGGTATTACCAGAGTAAGAATACACGAAGTTATAAAAATTATATACCTCACCCATATGTAATTTCCCAAGGTATAACATCGCTTTTAATATGTTTCAAAAATCTACCTCTAGGCAAACTTGTTATTTCAACATATCCATGTGAAGTCAGGTCATGACACAGATTACCAAGATGATATTCATCTGCTGTTGCAAAGGCTGTGCACTGCATCAGATTCTGTGCCAAAGGAATAAAGATTTGAGTTAGGGCAAGGCTGAAGAAAGATGTTCAGAAGACAATTGTTTGCCTCAAATTTATCATGAGAGTGATGTTTTTCCCTTATTCCCTCTTTCTTATGATATCATTGCCATGCTGTCCACCTGGTACACAAGTACTAGTGAGATGACTTGCTCCCTGTTAAGTGGGAAAGCAAATCATGGACTGAGACCAAAACAGGTGACATGAGTAAATCGCACCAAAAAACTTTATGATAGGGCTACAAAGCGAACCCTTCTTCCCCGAAGGCCAATCAAACGCTTTAACAGTAGTGCTACACTCGCTACCGCTCTCTCATCCTACAGCTTATGACACGCTCAGCTGATCACTGAAATCAAAAGCAAGACACCTCCGATACCAGCTTTAACATCCATATTTTAAAGATAAATGGAGTTCAACTATCCCAGCCTGCTTATCAAGCAGAAGCACCAACCACAAACATCATGGTCTTCCACGCACAAAGCTCACTGCCAGGTAGCTCCCAGGGTACGAGCCACTCTGCAACACCACAGCGCAGAAAGTCATAGAACTTCAGAGCCAGTTGTGGGTGCTGCAGATCTACAGTGTCCCCCTGAGATGAATCTCACACTAACAACATGGTCTCAACTGACTCCGCAGTCAAACAGTATACAACAGCCAGAGTTTGTCTCAATACTCCACAACTTTAAATGACTAAAATGCCATATTCAAACAAATAACTGGAAAAATGATACTGACTTGCAATGAGACTGACTCATGCATGGCAAAGAAATCAGAAAGTCATCTGTGTAAAGATTTTCTTGATTAACCAAAACAAGTCACAATAAACCGATGTACAAACTCTACTATTCATTTTAAGTGGATTTCTTTGTTCTGATACTATGTGTGTCCCATGCTAATGTTTTTCAGTACAATACAGTGGAAGATATCCAGAAATCAATGTGTCTGTGGATCAGTTACCTCCCAGCTTTTTGTAACTAATACAAATGGGGATGTAACTAGCAACAAATGAACAAAAGAACTGTACTCATCTGCAAGCATTTATACACACAATACACTTCAAATTAAAATCCAAATTATATTCTTGCAGCACTCATGCACTACCAAACAGCAAGGCTTAAAAAGGTGTTCTACTTCTTGCAGGGCCTATTACCAGTCATCAGAATCATGACCACAGATTTAAACCTTCTTTTCTTTTTTAATATTAACTTTCGTTATCACTTCCAAAGCTTTGCTTACATGTCATCTTAACTCAGCAATCACTAACAGAAAATAAATTTTAAAAGTAATTACGATATTCAGCGAGCAATTTGCAGGCATATTTTCACGACTGTATACTACAAGTCTGAGTTAACAGTGGAACTGTGTTTTCAGTTCCCTACCTTTGAAAAGCTGCATTATCACAATTTCATCTGTATAAATCCATTCTCAATCTCTAAACTGTCAATGCAAATTATGCATTTCAGATTCTTCCAGGAAGCTCTCATTATTAGAGCTACGAATGCTCTGCTATGAAACTCTTCTGTCAAGTTAAGGGAGTAAAGTCTTATCTTCTAGCTAGTACGCAATCTGAAAATCTATCCTGCTCTGTGCTCCCCACAGTTTACTTGTGCTGTGTTCATTTCAAGGCAGATGCACTACAGGACAGATTTTCTGTCTTACTGCTGCCATTTTAATTTCAACGTAAAGACTTTACATTTAGTAAATGCAACTACAAGTTACATCCTTAAACTGTAAGCTTTCTGCTACAACTACATGCCTGAAACAGCATTTTGGATATGCACTAGTTTGGGTGGGTTTTGTTTTGTTTTAGTTTTTTTACAAAGTACTGTTTCACTTAGATTTTTACTAAAATCTTGTTTCATGGGGAACATTTGGATTGGGTGTAATTTGAGACTAAGACACCTAAAATATACGTGTCCACAGGCACTCCCAAATGTCTAAGCTCCCATGATAGTCAGCAGAGATAGAGCCAAAAAGTCTATACTCCTATGAGTGATTCAGCTAATCCTAAAATAGACACGTTAACTGGCTGATCAATCTGAATGCCGTGCTTTCTGCTATGTCACTTTCACCTGCAAACTTCAGAAAACACAAAATACTGAAGATCAGTACTGGTGCTAGAAAGAAACTCCAGCTACTTACCACCCTCCTCCTTTCTGCCTACAGCTGGGTCTTCATTGAGATTCTATTCAGAGCACCAGAACAGCTACCCTTAGGGGCAGCCATCCAAGAGAACCCCAACAACTCATTTTCTGTGTCATCACGCCCCAAACAACTGTCCAGGCTCACATAACCGTAATTCTCCTTAGCCCACCCCTTCCACTTTAAGCAGACACAAATTTTAAAGAAAGAAAACCTGTAGGATGAATTTAAATCCCCATATCACCATAGGAATCAGTCTTTATCTTAACTGCAGTAAGTACTACATCTTTACTTGAATTTCAAGCTGCTGCTATACTATCCGTCTATAGCACTAAAAATCAGCTCAGAGGGTCTTCATGACATTGGACCTTATGAGATCAACTAAACTGAGTAGTGGCACTACTCACTAATGGACTGACAAAACCAGTTAACTGCTTTCAAGTAACTCCTCCACCTATCCTGAAAAACTGGTCTTACGACCATTTATCACTGCTGGTGCTCAGCACTCTGCCTGTAAACAACACATGAAGACCAGTGCTGGGGAGGGGTGGGAAGGACCTCATCCACCGACTGTTCTGCAAAAGCAAGCTGTCAGCTGTCAGGCCCTCCTTGGGGGGAAACACCAGGGATCCTCAGGGTTCGTCTAACTGAGGACCTTAGGAGTGGGCCTAGAGCTAGTGTCTCAAGGGGCAGGCCGGCAAGGAGAAGACGCTGCACCCTGCCCCTCGCTAACTGCCCTGGCAATACACTTGTGTTACTGGAGGGCTCTGGGTTTCCTCCACACACGTGCAGGAAGGTAAGATCAGCTTTTTTGTGACACCAGGATTTAGAGAAAACCGACAGCACGCTGAAAAAAACCTCAAAGATTTTTCCGCGCTACTTCTATTAGTCATCTTGCAGAAATCAGCCACATCTTTTAAGTTATTTCTCTATACTACATACCTATAGGGAAATACAAAAAGCAGTCAAAAAAAATGCTTATTTCAAAATACTGTCAGCCTGCAGTTCAAGGTGACAGCCTGTCTGTACCCCTGTAGATGGGGCTATATATCTGACAAAACCACATGGGGTTTATTAAAAAATAGCAAATGTTTCTGTTAGGTCTGAGTTTATGTGATTTCTAGCACAACATTTTGCTGTGGAAGCTTCCTCAGGTAGTATACTATTATTTCAGTATAGCAAGACAGTATTTTCTCCACTTCTTCAAGAAAGTAAAAACAGCAGTGCATATTACTCACATACATAAACATGAAAATGTCAAACAAAGAAACTGTTTGCATTCTATGCTGCCATTTAAAAGCCTCAAGAAGCCAAAAAAAAATCGTCACTACAATTCACCCAACAACAAAAAAAAGTAACTTCTGAATGTAATGTCACAGCCTGAATAATAAGTTTGAAACATTACATGGTGTTTTAGGACTAATATTCTTCAATTTTTATTTTTTTTTTAAAGCAACAGGAAAATACAAGTGGGAACTAAATTGTCTATAATGGAGTCTTTATGCTACGTTAAAGCATATGCCTGCTCGTCATACAAAATATTAAACAGAAGCTTAGACGCCAAGAAGGCAAGCATTAAAACTTCAGCTTCTGTGCTCACATTCAGCAGATCACATAATAAACACATTTTGCAATGCAGAAGCTACTTCTGGAAGCACAATACTTGTTTCAGTCTCATCTACAATACTATTTTATTAGCAATATCCTGGAACTCAGCTGTCGTTGTAGCTTGAGGGTACTTCTGACACCAGGATTTTCCTTGGAGATCTTATATTCAAGTATGCTTAAGGTCTGCCTTGATTGCTATTGAGGCTTGCAAAGAACTACCTTAAAGAGAAACAGCCACAAGTATGCACTGTTCCACCTAATCAGACCTCATTTTATCCAAAACAGTCTGTTGCTGCAGTTACTCTGTAGACCTACGAGTCCGGAGATCAAGGTGCTATTTCTACATACTGAATAATCTTCCTCAGGTAACACAGGCTATGTCTGCACCTCAGCTTCCCATCTGAAACTTAATCTGAATATAAACTTTATACTATTTACTTTCATCTTGATTTCTGTTTGAGTGAAGCCTTAAAATTGGGTAGAATTGGACAAGCAAGGATACCTAAGGAAAGTTAGAATTATTCTGAAAGCTAGACTTTGTTCCTCAATATTACATGTGCTTTGAGAGCACTGGTTAAAATTATTTTTAACGGATTTTGTCCTTCCACTTTAATAACCACTTATCTTCCTTCCACTTTTCTGTACACATTACTAGTGAATCTTCATTTTATCTTTAAAACACCAGACAGTTTCTAACAAGCTTGTTTCCGTTTGCAGTTCCAACACTAGGGTAAACAATGAAATCCTGCTCACCAAATAAACATGTTAATTTCATTAAAATGTTAATCTAAACCCAAATCTGAATCTAAATTAAACTGTTGAAGTTCCCTTAATGTTACAGGGAATGTAAATTTTATGCCTTACCTCCATGTCTGATGGTAGCGGCTGGTTAGTTCTGGATGGCTGCTTGGTCCTTGGTGCCTTTGGTGGCCTCTTAACTGGCTGGTTACTGTGTTTTGGAATAATTTTACCAGCTGATACAACCGAGTAAAATCTTGATGATACATTCCTAAGCTTTTTCATACGCTCTGTATTGAGCTTGTAGTTTTCCATCATCGCCACACCAAAATGTTTCCAGGATGGAAAAAAAA